GAATGTGGCAACTTAAGGAAGACAAACTTGCTAATTGAAGTAGACTGGTCTGTTACCAAGCCCACTGCATTAGCCTACTCTGCTTCGTTATTGCATGATTACCCAATATATGTAGTTTACTGCCTTCTCTCCTTTCCTTTTTGATCCAATTGTTAATATGCAGCCATACTAGCAGTTGTTCTAGGTGTGATGAAAACTGAGCCTCCCCCTCTTCTTTTCCTGGTATGTATGTCTCTTCATGCATCTGATGAAGTGAGCTCTCTGCTGACAAAAGGTTAAGCTATACATCTCTAATTTAAGTAGTCTATAAGATGCAAATCTACCCTGCTTTCTGCAGATTCCAGGGTACTGTTACCCTGTTTACATTTCAGTAGCTGCCTTCAGCAATAAAAAAGCTTGCTACTTGTCACATAAAAACAAGTTTGTTAAGGAAGTATCATGATGGACATATCTCCCTTGGAAGACACCAGCTCCTCTCAGTGAAAGATTTTTTTGAACTTGCCAACTTGTATTTTGTTTGCCTATAATGTTCTTTAAAACAAAATCTCAGTTCTAACTTCAGGAGCAGTAAGGGAAAGTTTTTAGTGGTTGTTAAGGGCCTAGTTGCTTTTTCTACCTTTGAACAGTTTGTGCCTTTGAAAATCTCATCCACAGTCTCATACAGGCCTGCGTACAGACTAATTTGAAATGTTAAAAAACAACTATTTGGATTGATAAACCAAGATAGATCTGAAACTTTTTAGCAGGTTAGAAATATTATCGTATCAATAATTTGCTGTCTTAGTCCCTTTCATTAATGGACATTAAAATCTGTTAAAAACATTACACCTTGTATTGTTTCTTTGAGAAAACGCCCTGCATCTAACCCTAATTAAGCGGAACAAATGAAATTACAAGTGGATAACAGAACTAGTATAAAAACAATAAAAGAACTGTTTTGATTTTTGTTCCTTTATGCATAATATTGGGTGAATGGTTCTGTAAGTACAACAGATTTGGATGGATTTTAGCTGCTATTCATATTGCTATCATATTGCTGTTCCTATAAAAGGAGACGCATCTGCTAAATGTGTTCCAGGTGTAAGGTCAGAATCTACCTTCAGTTATTTACAGCTATGTGAGTATTTTCTTCAGAGCCAAACAGATGTCATTGAGAACAGAATCATTGACTTCTGCATGAGCCAAAAAGAATTGTAATCCACTTTCAGTCTTAAGGATGACTTTGCAAAAGAGATCATGAGCAAAAATGTCTTCATTTGTAAAATAAGCAAATTTGCCTGGGAGTCATTGAGAAAATAAAGGCAGCGTGCCATACGGCCACTTAAAGATTTTTGGAGGCTTGGAAGAATGTTGTATAGGCTTCCACAGTAACACAGGAGTACCCTATTATGCTCATATATACATATTAATAAAGAATGTAATTGGTCAAGCTTGGACACCAGCAATAAGATAAGCAGAAACAAATATTCATCCAGTTTTAATTTTAGCCTACCAAGTTAAAAAAAAAAAAAAGAAGTTAACTGTGATACAGAAACCCAACTGCTGCTCATATCAACATAAATCTACCATGCTGCTGCAACATAGGCAACAGCTCCATCTTCTTTTGCCAAGGGGGAGTTTCTGTTTGGTGACTGAAAATCTTAGAATGGTTGCTTGTTAAATATGTCATTGGACTTTGATGTATTTTACTGAAGCTGCTCTGCTCTTCTGTTCAAAATAGCTCAGTCCTACTTCCAGATCAAAGAAGGTGCCTCCGGGCCGAACTATTCCACCAATGGGACCTGAAACCAAGGTGTATGTGGTCTGGGTTGAACGTTATGATGATATAGGTGTGTAGGACTTCTATTTTAACATTAATGAATGTAATAGCAGGGCCAACAACTGAGTTGTATCTGAAATGTTTTATTTTTTTTTAACTGAGTTCTGTTTATTTTTAGACAAATGCTAGATTCTGATTTATCACTGTTGTTTGTATTTAAATGTTCTAAAATGTGTTATTTTTACTTTGTACAAACAATTAAATAGTTAAGTGCATTTTACACATCCTTTTTTTTCCAGAAAACTTTCCCCTCTCTGATTTGGTTTCTGAGACCAGCACTGGTGTAGAAACTACAGCAAATAGTAGTACTTCCCTAAGGTCAGTTATTTAATTTGTTTTCTTTCAGTCAACAGGCAGTGCAGCAATTTAAGAAAACTTCCAATCAGGGACATGAATGTTCTTTGATTTCTCGAAGACAGTTGTACCTGAACAGTATCACAGATGGGGTCTTGTTAAGCATGATACAGTAGGTTTTTGCAGCAGATATTTGTCTGGGCAGTAATGAAAGGACTTTTGTATTTGTAGGGTTAGAACATGTGTCTGGAAAGTAGAAAATGTGGCGTTCTCTTCCTGGTTCTGTGACCAGCCACTGACCCTCTCTCTGCTCCTGTTCATTTTTTTAATAAGATGGTTTAATGCTGCGTTCACATGACAAAGTTTAAGTAGATGTTTGTAGCACTTTGAGATCCTGTGATAGAAGTATATAAATGTATTAATGATGTCTCCCTCTTTAGGTACAGATCTTGAACACTGGAAACCTACCCACCACATCTCCATGTTCCGTTCCAGAGATATCTTGAAACTAATCTTCCAACATGCTACACAATATTAGTGTGGCAGAAGGCAGGGCACCTTTAATTTAGTAAAATTCAGAAAGGCTTAAGATTTCATAAGCAACAGCTTCCTTTCTCAGAAGCTGTGGCTGGACCTGCAAGGAGCAAAGGTTTCAAATAGAAAGGAGTAATTTAAATACAAAGGATAGGGAAGGGGGGAGGAAAGGAGAGGGAGCAATGCTGAGAGAGGTAAAGGTGGTAAAGCAGTAAAGTCATAGGAACATGAAGGTAGAAAAAGCTAGCTCAGGTAATGGATAATCCATAGTCTCTGTTTAGACCATACTTAACACATTCCAGTCTGTGGATGACTTCTTGTTATGCAACTTCTGCATTCAGGTTGGCTTTTACAGTCTTGTTTAAGAACAGCTACACTAAGTCAGTGATAGAATATCCAGGGATGTTACATGTCGGTTTTGGAATTGCTGTCAGATCACTGTTATTCAGAAGGGCACTGTAAGCAGATGTTATATTAGATATTTGTAGAGGAGCAGGTGAATGAACCCCGAATGTTATAATCTGTTTTGTTTGGTCTAGCGATAATGTGGTCTTTGTTGATGAGGAGGCACATTTAGCATCTGGGTCTGTTGCAAGGCCTGGTGCCTTGGTGAGAATAGGAGTCTGTTGCTGGAAAGATGTCATTTGAAGCTGGGAAGGCTGCCTGTAAGCCAGGCATAGGTGACGCATGCCTCCTGAGGTTGGGGGTGGGCGGCCCGCGTGGTGGGGGGGGGGGGGGGGGGTGCTCAGTGACCACCCGGTGGTGGCAGCAGGGGCATGGCGGAGGCAAGCAGGGACTTCCCACAGTCCCCTCATGGCTGGACACCAACCCTGGAAGTGCTGGTGGTATTTCCTGGTTGGGGGGGAGCCACCGGCGCTTCACCTGCGCTCCACCTGCCCCCTTTGCCCATCACCTAAGCCAAGAGTGCTCACTCTCAGGTGGGGCACCAGCACTCTGAGGGGGGTGTGCATGCATTCCTGTGCACCCCCTACACGTCGCCTGTGAAGCCAGAACAGGTTTGTTCCCCTGCAAGTCTGTCTTGAGGTGATCATCGTTTTCCAGGAGGGAATTGGACGTAATTAATCATGTATACAAAGTGTTCAAGCAGTTGGCTATAGGTGATGAGAGATTCTGTTTTCCTTGTCATGCGTTTAGTATTGTAACAGGTCAGAGTGAAGTCTATTCCAGATCCCTAAGATAGTGCACTTACAATGAAAGCTGGTGGTGTAGAGATAGCTGTGTAGCACCTTTCTCAGCAGTGCCCCCTTTCCTTTCCTCTGTCCTTCCTTATCTTTTGTATTTAAATTACTGCCTTCTATTTATCCTTTCAGGTCCATTAATAGCATCTGATGAAGTAAGCTGTTGCTTACGAAAGCTTATGCTTCTCTGAATTAGTTTATAAGGTGCCACTCAATTCTGCCTTCTGCCTGAAATTAAACTAAAACAGCTAATTACCTCTCTGAACTTTAATATGATTAGCCATAGAACAAAAAGAAAGCATTGTTTAAAAAAAACTTGGAGCTATTTTCTACCTAAAAAAGTTGTCTTAAAATACTATATTTCTCTTTTTAACACCAAAATTTCATTCCTTTAGATCTGCAAGCCCTGAAAAGGAGGTTCCTGTGATTTTTATCCATCCTTTAAACACTGGGTTATTCAGGATAAAAGTGCAAGGAGCTACTGGGAAATTCAACATGGTCATTCCACTGGTGGATGGAATGATTGTTAGTAGGAGAGCTCTTGGTAAGTTATTTTATTCAGAAAGTTGTGAATTAAAACCTAGTGGAGGCTTTTAATTGACTGTTCAATAATTAATATGATCCTTTCCAGTAGTTATGAGGCACTTTTGACTTGGGAATAGCTTTGCAGTATGTATGGCTCAGAGTGGGTAGGTGAAGTACACAAGCAGGTTTTTCTCCACTGCTTCAGCAAACAGATTTTGCTAAATTTTGTTAAACTAAAATTAACAAATTATTTATTTTTACATTTTCCATGGCTTGGAAACTTTTCAGTTATACTTTTTATTTGTATTGGAATGAAGTGACAAAAGCAAGGTGGGTGGGGAGCAAATTGGAGAACAGGGAGCTGAGCAGAAAAGACAACAAGACAAATGAACAGAGTTAGGGGCAAAAGATATAAATCAGAAACATGGACCTGATGTTGATAACACACTGATATCTGATGCAGAAATTTAGCTGTCTACAAAGCAACTCTGGGTATGGACACTAAGGGTACACATTAAAAGCATTTCAAATTCCCTTTTGATGAAGTACTTTTTAATGTGTATCATGTCAAAAGTGTACAAATGAACTGCCCTCTCCCAGCTAAATGATCTCAAGTTTTGCTGAAGCTGATGCTCTTGTGCTCCTCCAGCACTGCTCTTGACTACAATTTCCTGGAGTATTCTGAGGCCAGCAGAATGGAAACTTCAGAACCTTAGGGGTATTAGATCCTGGTCTTTTAGCCTGTGTTTCCTTTAGTCACTATATTCTTTTTAGTTGCCTTTGTTTGTCCTTATAATATTACTAATTTTCATATTATAACAGTAAGATATAAACTAATGAAAATACAATTAGAAAGCAAAACTAAAGTATTACAAAATAGATAATTAAATATACATACTATAAATTTAGTAAAGACTAGGGGAAAGGGGGAGCTAGACATTACATGCAACCAACTAACAAATATACATATACATTTAAAGGATACCAAGCTACAAACAAATCAATTTATAAACTTAACAAATGATTTATATTGCACCATATTTCTTCATATTGATCCCAGTTATGTCTATTTCCATATGTAATCTTTTCCATTAATGGAACCTGCATAAGTTCTTTTAACCATTCCAAGAATGAAGGTATGCTGGGAGTTTTCCACTGGCACCATGTTCATTTTAAATTTCTTAGAAAGTGTTATACATGTGCTAAGCCAAAAGCTAGTAATTTTAGGACAAAAAGAATAAACTATAATTTAGAGACCCAGTCTGGTTTCCACACCTCCTCCAGCATTAGTCATCCAAGGCTAGCCCTGCTTTAAATAACCTTTCTGGGGTCCAATAAAATCTATTTAATGTGAAACAGTTTTTAAAAGCAATGAATTGGATGTTTTACAAAGTGATTTCCAGATACTAATCCATTTCTCAACTGTTAGCAATATCTGTAAATCCTTTTCCTATTTACCTTTAATAATAATATCTGCTGTATATAATAATTTACTAAACCATTTGTATGTATTACCAACAAAGTGAGGTTAATCCATAGAGTACAATGTATCTTTCCAAATTTGTATGTCATAAATTATTCCATATACTAGCCAATTGCCTGTCAGGAATGATTGGGGGTGGGGCAGGGACAAAGCGCTGCCACCCACCAGCTCGCACTGCCACCACCTCCCAGGAGTGGTTGTGGGGGTGGGGGGGAACCTTGCCCCACCGTCCTCTCCATCCCCCTTGGCCAGCACTCCCATGCTGCCACTGCCTCCTGCTCTGTAGCCACCACCTCCAGGGAGCTGGGGGTGGGGAGGTGGAGGCCAGTGCTGCTGGCTTCGCCTCCCCGCTCCATTCCCTCTGTCCCTGCCATCATGGCAGCGCTCTGCTGCACCGCCACCACTGCCTCCTGTCTGGAACACTCTTGGAGCAATCTGGTTATTTCAGTCAGTATTGTGATTGGCTACTGAGACAACCAATCAGAGTGCGAATAAAGTGATACGGACAGACAGACGGAATAAAGCTTTTATTACATTAGAATTCCCATGTGTCTTATTCACCAGAGCACAGCTTTTTGTTATATAACTGAAATTTATCACATAGTCTTGCACCTTTTGCTTATATATAGATTTTGCTTAATGATAGATTTTACAGTAGCTATATTGTTTTTTTCCCCAGAAATCTAGGATTCCTTTCTTATCTTTAAACTTCAATTAAGGGTGTTCCTATAAAGGAATAAAGGGAGATTTTGTTAAATCTGAAGATGTTACGGTACACTCCATAAAGAGTTAAATACAATGTTTAATATCAGAGGTCTGGGTAAACTCTTAAGAAATGAAAATGATTGTGATCCAAACTTGGAATTTAACTTTTCTTTCATGCTCATTTTTATAGGTTTGTCCCCTGGAATAGTTTCATACATCCAATATTTAAGTACCTTAATATGATAAGCCAGATAATGTAAATAGAATTTTGGTACACCCACTCCACCATGGCATCATTCCCTTTTAAGAGCTTTGGCAGCCATTTTTCGTCTTTTAGATTGCCATATGAAGTTCAATATCATTTTATTTATATGCTTAAAAACAGATACAGGTACTTTCAAGGGCCATAAACTGAGTATATAATTAATCCTGGGACACTCATTCACTTTGATTATTTCTATTCTTCCTATTAATGATATAGGGTAGGTTTTCCATCTTTCCATATCTTTTTTTTAATAGTAGTTAAGATATCATCAATATTTAGTTGCACCATATTGTAAAGACTAGAGCATACCCGCATGCCTAAATAGTTTATTACCTTACAGTTCTTTAGCTGAGAAAATAGACAAAGTTCATCCAAATGTTTCCCTTTGACACATTCATGTAAGAGAATTTACCCCAATTGATCCTGAGGCCTGATAACTGTCCAAATGACTCAAACAGAGCAAACATGTGAGTTAATGAATTACCTGGGTTTTCAATAGAAGAAAGATATCTGCATATAAATTGATTTTATACATTTGATCAAGAATCTTGATCCCCTCAATGTGAGTTGATTACCTAATAGCTGAGCTAGAGGCTCCAATGCTACATTGAATAAGAGTGGAGAAATAGGACATCCCTGACACGTGCCCCTTTCCAAGCAGAATGAAGGTGATATCACATCATTAGTAGATACTTCTGTGAGAAGAGACCTGTATAAAACTGATATCCAATTTATGAATTTCTCACCAAAACCAATTTTTTTGTAAAATTAAGAGCGGATATTTAGAATTCAACCCTGTCAAATGCCTTTTCAGCATCTAATGAGAAAAGGGCTGAGTCAGATAGATGACATTGCTGAATCATGTGTAATAATTTGCCTGTACCATCTGAGGCCAACCTGCCCTTTATTAAACCTATCTAATCAGCATGTATCAAGGATGGAATCACCTTACTAAGTCTTAGAACTAGTAATTTTGTGAGAATCTTATCATCAGAATTCAATAATGAGATTGGGCAGTAGTCTCTACATGGGAATCCTTTCTTTCCCTTCTTTAGTAGTAAAATAAAGCTGTTCTTGTTTCTCTAGGCAGATTTCCATTATGAAATATTTCCTTGTTATATATCAAATAATAATGGTGCTAGACTTTTTAGGAAAGTTTTACAAAATTCAGATGGAAAACCACCAGGCTAATTCTCGCAGGGTATTTCATATAGTATTTGACATCTAAACCATGAAACACTTGCCTTAATTTATTAAAGGCTGCTCTTTTCTTGTTCAGTTCTTTTGTGAAATCAGAAAATAGTCAATTTTATGTCCATTAAATATAACTTATCCCATCTTCTTAGCTGATGAACAAAAGATTAGCCTTGTCAGAGAATCTCAGGAACTTAAATATATAACTGGCCTGGGCTTGAGCCCATTCTGGTTAGGATTTGATCCTGTGCAGTGAGCTTATATGATCTCAGGTGGAGGTAATGGCAGATCTTGTTTCAGGATTTCTGGCAGGACATTTTGCAGGAAACCAATCATATTTGCTCCCTCACAGCCCTCTAGAATTCCAATTAATCTTAATTTTTTTCTACATGACTGATTCTCCAGTTCATCTTGTTGTTCTAATAAGTAGATCTTTAATTTAAGAACAGCATTCTCTTTTTTAATCTTCATAATATCATTGTTGCTCTTATTCACATCACTTTCCAGAATGATGATGTGTACTTTTCTCACCAATGTCTGCAGAAAGCCTGTGTATATCCTGAGAGACTTCCTCTAGTTTCTCTGACAAAAACTGCCTCAGCAGTGATCTCCTGAGACACCAGACAGAACCTGAGGATTTCACTCTCATCACTGGCCTGCATGAGAGATCCAGGCCTTGTCCTCTTCATACACTTAGATATATTTACAAAACTTGCCAATGCACACCCCCCCCCCCCCCCCCCCCCCCTCGCCCCCCCCCCCCCCCCCCCAACACACACACACACATTTCACTGAGGAAAAAAATCACCTTGATGCTGACATGATGTGAAATAAGCATAAAGAGCTGAGGAGCTCATAGCTTAGGCAGACATCTAGTATTGTGGTATCATGTGACCACCCACCCCAGTCACCACTTCAGGAGGTCATCTAGTCCAAACCCACTCCCTCTTCATCACACAGCATCTGATGAAGTGAGCTTCAGCTTACAAAAGCTTGTGCTATATAATAGCTATAGCTATTTTGGCTAGTCTATAAGGTAGAAATCTATCCTTCCTAATTACATCTCTAGAATCATCCATCTTCAGACCATCCCATAACAATGTTATTCTAACCTAGTCCTAAAATTACATAATCAACCCTATTGCACAACTACAAGGCACAATGCCAAAAACCATCAAGAGCACCCTAACCTGCCACAGTTAAAGAGTGGGGGATGAGGACTGTAAGTGTCCCACCACTGAAGAGGATGTCCCCTGCTACAGATGAAGGCAAAAATTTATGAGATCATAAAATTCCTTCATGATCGCATCAGTCTGATCTTGAGTGGAAGGGTAAGACCTTCTAACCATGAACCTCTGACTTTTAGTCCTAG